TCCTTCTAGAGCAGGGAGCTTAACCTTTTTTGTGCCATAGAGCCCTGCAAAACCGAAACTGTTTAAATACATAAAAGGAAATGCATAGAAATACCGGGAAATAAACTGCATTGAGATGGTTATCAAAAGTAAAAACATTTGTGATAAAGTGACATGTGCTTCTTTATGAACACAGTAAGATGTAGCAGCTGGTCAGGTAATTTCTAGAATTTCCAGTAATGCAACAGCCTTAACACCCCATGACAATAATCTGTTTTCTGTTGAAACAAACTCACAGGTTCTGTGATACCACTGTGGTATGTGTTCCCTACATTCATAATGAACAGAAACACTGAATTTTAGTGCAGGTTACTGAAAATAAGTACCTTTCGCTGCCCCCCTCCCCACTGCCCCCCAACTGTGGTGTGTTCCCTACTTTCATAGTCAAAATAAACATTAAATTTTGGTTCAGATTACTGAAAATAAATACCTTGTACTACCCACCACCACCACCACACACACTGTCGTATGTTCTCTACATTCAGAATTAAAAGAAATGTTAAATTTTAGTTCAGGTTAGTGAAAAGAAAATTAACTTTTTCCTATCTAATTCCATGGTCCCCAGTTTAAGAATGTCTTAGAAAACCTGCATTTTTAATGAGAATTTTTTAAAATATACTTTTAGTTCAGAGAGGAAAGGAGAGGGAGAGAGAGAGAGAGATAGAAACATCAGTGATGAGAATCATTGCTCAGCTGCCTCCTGCATGCCCACCACTGGGATGGAGCCTGCAACCCAGGCATGTCCTCTGACCAGGAATCAACTGTGACTTCCTGGTTCGTAGGTTGGCACTCCTTCTGAGGAGTGTGACCACTGAGCCACACCTTCCTAGCCTCAATGAGGAATATCCCCTAGGGCAGCGATGGCGAACCTTTTGAGCTCGGCGAGTCAGCATTTTGAAAAACCCTAACTTAACTCTGGTGCCGTGTCACATAGAGAAATTTTTTGATATTTGCAGCCATAGTAAAACAAAGACTTATATTTCTGATATTTATTTTATATATTTAAATGCCATTTAACAAAGAAAAATCAACCAAAAAAATGAGTTCATGTGTCACCTCTGACATGCGTGTCAGGTTTGCCATCACTGCCCGAGGGGGTAGAAGGTGTTTTTGGGGGGGGTTGTCAAAAACATTGGTGGATATTACAGTGGTTTGTGGCCTTCCAAAGGATCACAGTGCGTGACCAGATATACAATGTATTTGTGGCATTAAAATGTCATGGCAAGGGGGTGATTAGGAAAAAAGATGCTTTAAAAGACTCTATAGAAAGGTGAAATAAAGAAAAAGTCGGAGAAGCTCTGCTCTAGCAGAAACAATGATAAATGAGGCCACAGAACTTCCCTTATAGTATTTAAGAAGACAATCCCCGCTCTCCCATTTTTCTGGTTATCTGTTTGTTCCATTGAGCTACTTAATTGTTTCTGAGTCTCACTTTCCACATCTTCCAAATGGGAGCAAAGACTTGTTTGGGTATCAGGGTATGGAGTGTATATTTTGTTGTTCAGACCCTTACAAAGTGGACTGGGCATTGTGGGGTGGGCTTTCCTGGAGATTTCCAGAAGTAGAAAGGTTGAGACAAAGGGTGTGAATATGCTAATTAAAAAGAAACCATAGTACAAAAGTATATACAGTTTATTAATCCTCACCCCAGGGTATTCTTCCCATTCATTTTTAGAGAGAATAGAAGGAAGGGAGAGGAGGGAGTTAAGAGAGAGAAAAAAAACATAGCTGTGAAAGAGCTATGATCAGGGGACTGCGAAGTGAACCTGAAACTCACTGGTTTGCGGCCCAGGGCTCCAACCACTGAGCAACACCAGCACTGAGCATTTCAGATCTTGGGGAAGTGTGCCGTAGATGCTGTCTGTGTTCTAGAAGTTGATAAATATTTTTAACTTGATTCTTGAAATAATGGCTGTTGTGGAGCAGTATTGGGACAAGAAGGAAGGCAGTACCTCCTCCTTGAGCACCACCTGGAAGTTCAGAGCTGCATTGCGTCCTAACCATATTGTTTTATTTTATTATTTTTTATAATCCTCATCCGAGGATATTTTTCCATTGATTTTTTAGAGAAAGTGGAAGAGAGGGAAAGACAAATATCGGTGTGAGAGAAACACACGGATTGGTTGCCTCCTGCCTAAGCCCCTATCTGGGCCTAGGAGGAACCTGCAACCGAGTTACGTGCCCTTGACCGGAATCAAACCCGGAACTCTGGTCTGCAGGCTAATGCTCTGTCCACTGAGCCAAACCAGCTAGGGTGTGTCCTAACTTTAAAGTCAACTTCTGGGTGTCCCAGAAAGGTGGTAACCTATGCTGTAGCCACCCCCTCCCCCAGCCAACCTGACTCCTCAGGC